AAGAAGGCAAAGGATCCAACTCCTTCCCAACTCTTGTGATTCTGCAGTGCTCACAGAGCAGGAAAGCAGTAAAAACTTTATTTTTGCCACTAAAGTCAGCAGATGCGACTTGGAAGCACACAGCGATCAGATCTGCTGAGTAAGAAAGTGCCATTTTTACATAGTTACTTTTCAGAGTAGAATCACACTTTTTGCTGACTTGTTCAAGGTCACTGGAGGCAGTTGTAGATGCTCTGGGAATACAGCCCAGCAGTACCAAAGCTCAGGTGCCATAACTGAATCTCTGCACAGCCCTCACTTCTTTTTCGTACCCTTATCAAAATCGACACAATTAATGCCAAGGTACATTGCATATTGCAGTTTTCTCAGAAATAAAATGCTGAAAAAATCCCCCCCACTTATACTGGAGTCTCAGCTAAAACGTGAACCATCTGCCAATTCCCCGTAGCACTTGGATATTTTTTCCGCCGTCCTACATTCTCCACTACAAAATGAGGCTGGTAATAAAAAAAGCAGTTGACACCCTGCCCCAAAGCACGCTCACCCTAAGCAGTGTTCTGACACGAAACCTTCTGACTCCCCAAACTGTTAGAGTTGTTCGGATAATATCCGTAGGGACTTGAGAAACTTCCGATTTGTTTTGCCTCTCAAAACTAGAGGTTAAACCAGACACCCAAATCCAGACGTTTGTAAAAGAAGTTTTTGGGGATGCTCAGAACTTGCTGTTCTTACTGCCTTTTAAGATAAGCTTAGATACCCTGCTGGTGATCCATCTTCATGCTCCAGCTGTCTCCCATTCCAAACGCCAGCCTTCCTAAGGGAAAGAGGCACCGGAGAATCCAGCAATGCTCCTCCAGCGGGATGAAATATTGCCACAGTACAGCCCTCCCACTAATCCAGCTTATCCTAAATGCACAGGACCCAAATGTATATGTGTATCCGGATGCCTGGGTACTGGGCAGGCTGTGTTTGAGTGAAAAATAGCCATAGTTTCAGTCTAGACACTGTCAGTGTTTTCATTACTCCCCTTTTCTGAAATTTTATAGCAACACAGAAATTTTTTTGGATGGTTGTGAGCAGAAAAATACCCATTTTCTCTTGGAAATATTCAAATGAACTGAGCAAAAATCCTGCAGTAGGAAACAGGATGGCCCAACTGTTAATAGAACCCCAAGCCACAGAAAGGCTAAGGGGTTTCTTCCTCTTTTTGACGTGGTGGTAAGTCAATCTCCTTGAATCCTTGCGTTGGGGTGTAGAAGTGTGAAGAAGCATCCTGTAAGCTCTAGCAGATAAAACAGATCTATGAACACTTCCTATTTATTCTATCTCAAGCTGGCCCTAGATATGCAAATATCTGATTTTGTGAAAAAAAAAAAGGTTATGTGACTCAATTTCCTTGCATAGAGGGATTAAGAAGGCTTAAAAGCAAGTGCACAGGCAAAACCATCCAGTGTGGGGACATGAAAGCATGACTGTTTATTTTATGGCCAAGAGAAGATAACACTTTGCTGATGAAATATGCATAGGGTCTAGCAGAAACCCTGGTCTCTGCAGGGGTCCGGATAGGCATTTCTGCATTAAAGGGAATAGGATATTAGTTGGGCACGATACCATTCTTGTTATATCCACTTAGGCCTACAGTGTTTATGCTGTAGGACACATTCTTTTATGCTTTCCATGTTTGCGAGCGCACTGTGGGGATTCATTCAACCAGGAGCTGTTGCATTTCAAGAGTTATATAGGAAAGTCATTTTCTTTATGAAAAGCATTTCCTTTTAAGCCTGCAGCTTAGTTCTTCAGATGCCACCTTAAGGCACCAGCATGGCTTTCACCACCGTTCCTTGCAGATGAGCGTGCAACGGTGTTACGTGGCAATAACTTCACATCATATTCAGGAAGATTTTCTTCCGGCAATGCCTTGAATAGAGTCTAAAAAAAAAATTAAATGGATGTAGTAGCCAAAAGAAACTATCCTACAAGTTTGATATACATTGGAGAATTTTCACTGATTTCAGTGGCCTTCCTTGCATTTCTGTATATCAATACCACTCTCCTTTGGTGATCCTAGGATCCCACTACTTCCAAGAGTTAGAGAAAGTGGATGTGCTCAGGGAGCAATTTTTCATCATGTTAGGGAGATTCCAACCCCCAACCTTCTGCTTTGTATGTGGCTTAATTGTCCTACCTATTTCTTAGACTGTGAACAATTATCTTCATTTATATTGTTATCCTGAGCGTGTCTGTAGGTTTTTATGGTGTAGCATTGCCATCTATTTCTTCAACAGCTACAATTCAGGATGCTTTCCACACGATGCAAGTTGCTTCCTCAATTAAACCAGCACAGGGTAGAGAGATTTTGTTACAAAACCCTGACCCACTTCTAAGCTGTCTGACTTGTGTTGTCAGTAACTGCTCAGCTCTGGGAAGATCATCCATTAAATTAAGCCACTTTTAAGCTGCAGCTTGCTTTTCAGAACTCATGTTAAGTGTGATTGATTAATGTAATTTAAGAAAAGATTTCCATTGGGCTTTAAAGAGGGTGATGTGATTAGCTGTCAACCCTGATCTTTCCTAACCCTGTGATAACATGTTTAGGAGAAAGTGATGGGCTACATATTTCCACTATGGCCTGTGATTAAAAACAAACAAACAAACATATCTAAGATTTTTTTTTAATTAAAAACACTCAATCAAAAACACACTGTCATAAACATATAATTATGACAAAATTATGTAACTTAAGCATGTGAGATTTGAGGATGAAACAGCTAATGAAAACATCATGCTTACACTTTAATCATATTATGTAAATTTTTAGTCAAGGTTTTAGATATTAATTATTTCAACAGCTACACACAAAGAAGTATTACAGCATTCTTTAGGAGTTTGCTATCGCAGACATATTTACAGGATTTCAGAGAATGAAAATTCGCACATTAATGAGAGCCTATTCTCAATAGACACGTTAACCACTCAGGTTTCCTCCCACTGTCCTTGAAGGAACCAAAGGCAACAGACAGTGCTCAGTTTATTACCTTGGGGAATTCCAGTCTTTTCCCTGACAGAAAGCCCAACAAAGAAAAGCGGCTTGGATAGGATTCCCATGTCACTCAGGCATAATTCTAGCTGAATGTGTCAGTTTTTGGTGCACTGGGGCATCGCTCAAGCATGGCAGAGGTAAAGCTATGTTGGGAGAGTGACATTAAAGGTATTTTCCAGCATTGTTGTTTTCATATGCTTAAGTTCAGCTGCATTTCCACATTATGGAAGGGCATAAAATACTAACCATAAAAAAAATGAAAATAAGCAAACATGAAAAAAAATAAGGCAATTCAACTGTGTATTGGAGCATTTAGTTGCTCTGGATTTTTGTTTATTTGTTTTTTAATGTGTTGCCAGCCTCCTCTGCTGCCTTGGCATGAGTATTCCAAAGACAAAACTCATGTGCTGTGTGCTGTACCTCATCTCTCCACTACAAGCTCATTCCTCCACCTTTGCTTTTCTCTCCCACCAAAGAATCTTGATTCATGTACACGCTTCAATCTCTTTGGCCTGCGGATCCAGCATGAACACATGTCTAGACCCAGTTCACCAGTTAATAGCTTTTCCAATGAGTTATTTTGCTTCCCCAGAGAAGAAATGGGTCCCACACGCTAAGCTCACAAAAATAAACTGCAACAAATCTTTTATATATTTATGAGTTTATCGGTTCTTGAGGATTCGGCAGGACTCCTGATCTCCAGAGCTTGTTAGTTTTGGGGAGACTTGTCCATGCTACCTCCCTGCAAGTACTTTTCCCTTCTGCCTGTTTTTGCCTGTTTCTCCATCCACACCTGTAGGGACCCCCATTGAACCTGTCCACACAAAGTCACACAAAGTGGGGCTTTCACAACATATCCATGTTATAGATTGGAAATGTCAAGACGAGCTAAGCAAGGTGGCGAATTTCAGACACTTTGAATAACCTACTTGTAAACAGAAAATGGTGGCTGACCTTACCTGTAGCAGAGCTGACATTTACCTATGAAGCCATGACTTAAGATTGCTTAGAAACACTTAGCTGGGCATTTCCTAACCTTTACAGAGTTAAAACCTCAGTCCTGAGTCACTCTTTTACTACAGTGTGTGGGAACCTATGCACCTTTGTACAAATTCACAGATTCCCTTTTGCTCCCCAAAATCTGCGTTTCAACAGCTTGCTATTTTGTGAGGATTTGAGCTAATACAAACTTTGCAAAACAGGGCTTGGGGCTATGGCTCCGTGATCACCGAAGTCTGGTCTGCAATAAATTCCCCTTTCAAAAACAAAACAAAATGAAGCAAACGCTAAACTAGATAAGTTTGGCATGACGGTAACATGCTTTCATGAAGGTGCTAAAATAAAACTCACTCCAAATCCATGTTTGCCATTTGTGTCTTTCCAGAGTCAAGAAGGCTCCATCCTTTCCCTGCAGCATGTGCACAGCTTTGCCCATGAAGGTTTTGGTGCAAAAACAGGGATTTTAGTGAGGCTATGCCAAAGGCTCTGCTGTGGTTGTGTGGTTGCACCTCTGAGGAAAAATTACAGAATCAATTTCAGAATTAATTGAAAATGATTTTTTTTTCATTGGGCCTCCTCAAAAACCCAGGCAGCCACTGCGAAACATGCAGAGCACTTTTATTTATAGAGCAATTTTTTTTTTTCCCCCTGAGACAGGGGTTGCACCCCTGAGGAAATTACAGTATAACACATTAAAACTTGAGGCCGCCGCTGCAAAACACTGCGAGCTCTTTTATTTAGTTAGCTCCATTTATCATGTATTTATTTTCGCACGTGCCGGGGCGGGTCGGGACTTCCCGCCCGATTTTTGGGGGCGTTTCGCCCACCTCGAGGACCCGCCGCCTCACG